GCAAAGCCCGCTCCTTGGCAGATCAGCCCGCTGGTGCGAGCGCGGACATCAAGTTGGGGTCGGATTCGGTGGCTTCGGCGACCGCTCGCGAAGACTTTGCTCTCCTCCGTGCTCGTCATCTCTTGAACAAGGTAGAAGTCCAGGCAGAGCAACATCACCTCGCCATGCACGACGGCTACGGGGGAGTGAGACTGGACTGGGTCTTGGTTCGAACCAGACACAGTCTACTGTAAGCGAAACGATGGCAGGAGCAAAATCGTACTCTCACTAGTGTTTCTCCCTCCAAATCCATCGGAAATAATAAAATAAGGCCGCAAGTGTCCACCAGCTAATTACACCTTTTCTTATGCCCGACAGCAAATTCTCGTTCTTGCGGTGTCCATAAGCTAATTACACGTTTTTTCGATGTCCTGTAGCAAATTTTGCCTTGATGATATGACCAGGCTGCCGCTAAAAATGTGTTACAGGTACCCCAAATCTCACACCATATTATGGCACTTAATAAATTAAGTAGATCTCATCTACTATAAAGATTTTTTAGTGGCCATGTTTAATGAAATCACGTGGTAAAGACATATTCATGTTTTTTTTAGAAAACTAGAGCTTCACATAGACACATACCTAATTTGCTGTCACTGGTAAGCGTGTTGTTGTTAGTGGATTTTACAGTTTTCTAAAGTTTGAAATTAATTCAGTTTCTTTTTAATGGGTTTCTCATTGATATAGTGACATAATCATAAGAATTTCCACATTTTTTTTCTAATCAAAGTTTCATATATTTGTGTTGTACATGATTTCAGTCGTCTGAAATCTGCATATTGTTTTTCGAGAAACTGGGCACAAGAGGTATGCCCCTTTACATCTAAAAGGGCATATATATATGTGTTTCAAACTAGTGTATTACTTGAGTTCATTTTTTGAGTGGATTATGTTGGGATATGCGTAGGCTACGATAACATAAATCAAAATTTTCTATCGTGTAAACCAGGAACCATGCAAGTATTAGATCATAGATCGTTACCACTCGACACGCTGCACAGCGGAAGAAGACGCTAAGAAGTCGAAGGAACTCTCGCGAAGTAGCGCGCATCGATGTAGAGAAAGTAGTCGATCGCACCGGCTCGACCTTCTCCTCCTCGTGCGTTCTCCTCGCCGTACTCCTACGCTGATCAGCACCGCAAACCAGCGGCGCCTCTACCGGTATCCACACATACAGGGACGGAACGCCACGCGCAGATATGATAGCACCCGCGCGTGGCTAGGGTTTTGCTCGGGGAGGGAAGTGACGGCTAGGGTTTCTCACGTGATACAATACCTCCGCCGGTCACACCCCTCACGAATATATAGGATCCATCACTCGGGCCTCCAAGGCCCGTAGGACTCCTATTCGGATCCCTATCCGAATTAATCTCATATTGGATCTCCATGCAATCCCTTTATTCCGGCCCATTAAGCGTGCGACCCGAACATATATACTCGGTTGTAACCCGAAAACTCCTTTCGGTCCACGCGTCAACAGCGTTAGCATAACGTATTGACCCACCGGGCATACATAAAGATCATATCAGCTGAACCTCTAGTGTATACTTGTATGAACCCCTTTGCCTCACGATATCGATTAAGCTCAAGGCTAGATATGTGCCATCCTCTAATAGCTCAATCATTCATTCGAACCTGTTGATAGATTATATAACTTGTGATTGACTCCTCAATCACCTTTGGCATGGCCATGCACTTCTATAATCTACAACATCGAGGGGCCCAGAGATATCTCTCCATAGGAGGGGCAAATCCCATCTTGATTATTCATATCCCACTACATGTAATTCATAGCATACCCGAAAACTACTTTTATAGCTACCCAATTATGGAGTAGCGTTTAGCAGTCCCTAAGTAAGCTACTACACATGTTGGGAACCATGATAATCTCAGGTCTAAGGATTCAACACCAACACTAAATGAGATCACTGATGACACAACACATATGGCTCTTGCAGTGTCTCATGTTGGGTCTATCCAACAACCTGTTCAATAACATGTGTCTACATTATTAATTTGGTATCTCTATACTATGATCCATGAGACATGATCATCAATTAATACATGTGCTGATCATCTAAATATATTTGTTCCACATATGATATTTGATCAGGGATCCTTTAGAAATAGCAACACACAACATAAAGAGTCTCACGAAAGAATCACATATTCATTAACCAATAATGAGTTTATCTATTTCAAGAAACAAAGTCGGATAAATATGTAAACATAGTGTGTGATACAATTATCTCTATGATTGGCTCTAGGGCATATCACTAACTAACAGATTATCCAGTAATAATGTACTATACTGCTTTTTCTTGTCTTTTTCTTTTATCACATATTGAGCCATGGATTCTTTTTCAATCATTCACTATCTCACTGTGGGTAGAAGACGAAACTTCAATTTGTTTTCATATCATTTGTTCCTACTAACTATTATTTTTTTAGTCCAGAAAATTAGGTGGCAGGTACCATGGTATCATTATCTAGCTTGCATGAGCCACCAATAATCTCAAATTCAAGAGAACCTGCATAGCGACGGCACAGTACGATTTATTCAAATCATGGGATCAAAATTTAATGCAGTGGAGTTGTATGTTCAAAAATAAAATAAAATAAAATCAGCAAGTGTTGTTTAATTAACCAATTGTTTTCTTCCTTGAAGCCCCTGTCTTGATGAATTAAAAATCCCCTAAACAGTCAGCACCGTACTACATCACGATCACAACAATCCAATCGGATTTGATTTCGCCATCCTACTCAATTATTTATCGTCACAAACAAGCTTCCCCACATTTCTTTTCTGGGAGCCACTTTTTTTTCAATGATTATGTGGAAATCCTAGTACATCACCAGGTAATCCTTTTTTTCAATGGTAATCCTAGTACATCACCAAATTGGTTGGCCGAAAGTTACTAGCCATCCGATTCCAAAGAATGGGAAACTGCACCAAGGTTGCAAACTTTTTATTGAAACCAAGATGTAGAGGTGCAAATCGATAGGGAACTGTGGCGTTGCCATGACGATTGTGTATCCTTAGGCCTCCTTTGACGTACACACTGCTTGATAACATGTAATCACCTTCGGTTGCCTTCACAGAAATGACATAATTGGAGGTTTGTTGCTGAGCTGTAAATTTTGGTGTGGGTTTCACCAGGCTCAATAGGAATTCGCCACGGAGTTCACCGCTGAATCAGAGGAGTTTGAGCTTAACCCGAACGACAAATCTTGCATGCACACTGCTTCAAGGAAACAATAGGTAGAAGATACCCAAATCTAGCCACCCATAAAGACCCAAGAACATGAATGGTGGCGAATGAACTGCTGTCCGGAAGACGAGGCAGTCGACTAGCAAGCTGAAGACGATGTTGTCGCGCCGGAACATCAAATCAGAGCTACGGGGAGCTGTTCCCTCCCCACCCATCCAGATGAGCAAGCCGGCGCTGCTTAGAGGAGACAATTTCAATGTCCGATTCCGCCGCAAATCATCGATTCCCACTTCTCCATCGCCACCAACCGCTGCCACCGCCGTCTACTCCAGCATCCATGAGACCATGCTAGCAAAAGCCCAACTCGGGAAGAACCCAAGCTGCAGTGAATACTTCACAACAAAGAACCGACCTAACTAAACTAGTACGGGGGGTGGCCAGGTCCCTCCTTTGACCCTCGCCGGCGGTCTGGAATTAACATCCAAAAGGTTGCAACAAATGTGAAAAAAGAAATCTGAGATATGCAACAATATGACATGTACCACCACACAAAAAATCAGCTCAAAATATGATGTACCCAATGAGAAAAAAAAACAAATTTGTACTCCAGTAATATTCAAACAGATTATGTTACTATTCACCTGAGATTTATCTTTTTATTCTCTCACTGTGTACGTCGTATTGTGAACTGATTTTTTTTAGTGGTGGTGTATGCCAAGTGTTGCACATATCATAATTTGTTTACATTTTTTGTGACTTTTTTGGATGTATTTTTCGAGGTTGGTAGCACGGTAGCACATTATTGTGCAGTAGCACCTGATATTCTCTCTGCTTAGACGGATATGGTGGTGGTGGGATATTCTCTCCACTTAGACGGATATAGTGGTGGTGGTGGAGGAATGATGGTGAGCGGCGGACATTGACGGTCCACTACTGGCGTGAAGACTATGAGAGCCCCACAAAGACCCCACTAAAATTTTTTACCATATATAGATAGGAGGGAGGACTGTAACTATATCTAGTTTGCTCAGACCTACTGCTATTTCTTTCTGAATCCGCCACTATTAATGGATAGGAAGGTAGTAGTGGCACATGATTGTAGGGTTGAAGGAGGGTGAGTAGGGTCTAGGACAGGGTATGGAAGTCAATAGTGGCATATCTCGTTGCCTGAGCCTCGAAGGATGGGAAAGATTATGGGACATGGGTATCTTGCCACCACTCGGCTTGGGGGCGGAGTAGAAGAATAGATGTTTAAGATTGGGATGGAGGGATGGGGAGAGGAAGAGAGACCTAGGCAGGAAGGTCGTGATGATATGACTTAGTGACGATATGATCGGTCGATCTGGTGTTATGCGTTAGTGGGGAAGAGAGTGGAAGGAAGAAAACATGAAGAAGGTTAACATCATAGCATCAGAATTCTTTGTGTAATCTGGTCTATCTAAAAGTGACTTAAATGTGTGAATAATTTTACATTCGCTCCCTTTGTCGTAGAAAAAAAAATCATATCCCAATAAAAAGACAGGGAGAAGGACATAAGACTAAAATATCCCTCATTACTACTACTTTGGTCCCTAAAACAAATAATCTTTTACTGGTAGGTACTAAGCGGCATTAAATAGATTAAATTTCTTTGATTTGTACAACAAAAACAGCTATAGGAGGGTAGGAATTAATATATTTTTTTAGATAAAGTTTTTATCTTTGGAAGTTATAATTTATTTTGGGATGGGGAGGGAGACAACTACAGTGTTTCGTTTGGATCGTTCTGTCTGTTATGCCCGTGATCTTTTCAGTTCAGAACTTCAGAGAGCGATAAAACTGTGGGGGCAAGTGCTCTGGCGCCGGCAATAATGGAGGCGGCGGCTAGAGGCAACAAGAAGCTGCAGGAGAGGGTGCCCATCCGGCGCACCGCGTGGAGGCTCGCCGACCTCGCCATCCTCTTCCTCCTCCTCGCCCTCCTCCTCCACCGCGTCCTCCACGACAGCGGCGCGCCATGGCGGCGCGCCGCGCTCGCCTGCGAGGCGTGGTTCACCTTCATGTGGCTGCTCAACGTGAACGCCAAGTGGAGCCCCGTCCGTTTCGACACGTTCCCGGAGAACCTCGCCGAAAGGTAAGGTGCCCAAGAATTAATCAGGAATGATTCAAGCCAACATCCAGAAAAAAGAAGATGATTCTGACGAGCTGGTTGGTTTTGCATCTCTTTCTTGTTGTTAGGATCGACGAGCTCCCGGCGGTGGACATGTTCGTGACGACGGCGGACCCGGTGCTGGAGCCGCCGCTGGTGACCGTGAACACGGTGCTGTCGCTGCTCGCCCTCGACTACCCGGCCGCCGGCGAGAAGCTGGCGTGCTACGTCTCCGACGACGGGTGCTCGCCGCTGACGTGCTACGCGCTGCGGGAGGCCGCCCGGTTCGCCAGGACGTGGGTGCCCTTCTGCCGGCGGCACGGCGTCGCCGTCAGGGCGCCCTTCCGGTACTTCTCCTCCACGCCGGAGTTCGGCCCGGCGGATGGCAAGTTCTTGGAGGACTGGACATTCATGAAGGTTAGCTATGGCAACCGCAACACCTCTCAGTTTCTTTCTCTCTCTTTTTTTTTTCCATTTTGGAAGTACTAACGAATTTAAAAATATAAGGAAACATGATAACCACAACACGTCTCAGTTTCTTTCTCTTTTTTTAATCCATTTTGGAAGTACTAACAAATTTAAAAATATAAGGAAAACATGATAACCACAGCACGTCTCAGTTTCTTTCCTTTTTTTTTTCCAATTTGGAAGTACTAACAAATTTAAAAATATAAGGAAACATGATTTGACTCGTGCTCTAAATTAAAATCGATTAGATGAAATCCGGGATACCGATATTTAAGTCAGTCTTATAAAAGAAGCGTCGAATGGGTAGGATACCGTCAAGTGATTAATCCTAATATGGATTATTAGTCAGAATTATACGGAATTTCAACGTTCATAAAACAAATAAATATATTTGCTTGGCCGTCCACCTTGGGTGATATTTAAGCACATTAGTACCCTTAAGTACTTTAAAATATTTAATTTAAAGTTTCTAAAACAACATGTACAGATTTATTTTACAAAGTGTAAAAATGTATTTATTTATTATATATTATAATAAAAATAATTAAATATATATTTTTGAGATCGTTCGTAACTTCAATAATTATGTAACCGGGAGGGAGTACGTAAACCGGTCATATTGCCAGAGTTAAATCGTCGATTGATCTAGAATTGAATGCCATTGCCATATATGCTCAGTGTAACGAGCTTTAGTTCGGCTGCTGCTGGAGTCAATTAGTAGATCGGACGATTAGTCGCGAATCAGCCTGATTAATTGGGCCAGCCCGGCCATTTTGGCGTCCACGTCGCCACAACTCGTCACGAATGGCAGAGTCGTATCGGTTTGTCTTCCGTGTACCACTGTACCAGTACAGTTGGCCTTATAATCGATTGGAACGGCCGTCATTTTCCACACTTTTTCGTAAGCAGAAATGCAGCGTTTCGATATGTCTTCTTTAGCTATTCTGTGAGCTTCCTTGTTTAGCCAAACCAGTGTTAACCACCCTTGCCTCTGAGGAGGAGTTTAGTATCTTTTAGCTGCTGCTCCTTAAATACACATATCTCGTTGCTAGTAGGGATTAATTTATTAATGTTCCACTGCAAAATTTCCAAAATTTCCGAAATTCCAGGTCTACTGGTCCCTGATAGAATATTATGTTGGCAAAAGAAATAGTTTTTTAATTACACATATCTTATTTAAGTTTAATCAAAATTTGTTCAAATTTCAACTTATTTCGGTCTGAAATTTTGACAATTTCCTGAAATTTGTTTCTATCGGTTCCCCGGTAGAAATATATGCAAACCGGTATGTAGAACCGTGGTTACAGGATGCACGCTTTTATCTTGGAGTCCAAAACAGCACAAGCGAAAGGAAGGGCCTATTCAGATTGATGGCATTTTCAACTATACCGTTATTTGGTAAAATGTATAATTATGTGGCTACGTTTAGTTTGTAACCAAATATTGGCAATGTGTATAGAATTTTGGCAATACTATTAAGCCAATCCTACCAAAATTTTGGCAACGTTGCCAATTTATCAAAATTTTAGCATTGCCAAATTTTGATAAGGTTTATTTTGGCATCAATCTGAATGGACCCGAAGTTATCATTGAGTAGTCATGGTTCCTGATCTTAATTCGTTCATGGCCATCTTGTTTATGTGCAAACATTTCAGAGCGAGTATGAGAAGTTGGTCCACCGGATCGAGGACGCCGATGAGCCTTCCCTTCTGCGGCACGGCGGTGGTGAGTTCGCAGAGTTTCTGGATGTTGAGAGGGGGAACCACCCTACTATCATAAAGGTATCGATCCCCACCTGACTATATAAAAACTTTCAAATATGGATTCTGGTCCCTCCAACTCCAAAGTGTGTCCCTTGCACAGAGTTTCTCAACTCATTTCTCACCATGACCCTGAACTTCTGTGCTTAACTTGGTTTGGTTCTCTGCTGGATGATTTAGGTTCTGTGGGATAACAACAGGAGCAGGACAGGAGATGGCTTCCCTCGTCTGATATACGTCTCAAGGGAGAAGAGCCCCAACCTACACCATCACTACAAGGCTGGCGCCATGAATGCCCTGGTCAGTGCTACATAGCTCTTTTTGTTACTAGAGAAATTTTACGGTTATTGAGAGAGTATATGTAGATACCGAAATTTTGCAACACAAATTTTAATACATCGAGGTACTAAGTTTTACACCAGAAAATATGGTACCTCTCGGTACACTATTTGTTACTAAACAACATGGAAAGTTCAGACAATGTTTGTTACTCACCAACACGGCAAGTTCAGACACTGTTTGTGTTACTCATGATTGGGGAAGTTCAGATATTTGATTGTTCTTACCATGATTTTTTGTCAGACAAGGGTGTCAGCACTGATGACCAACGCCCCATTCATGCTAAACCTAGACTGCGACATGTTTGTAAACAACCCCCGGGTCGTCCTCCATGCCATGTGCCTTCTGTTAGGTTTTGACGATGAGATCAGCTGCGCGTTTGTTCAGACGCCGCAGAAATTCTACGGTGCCTTGAAGGATGATCCTTTCGGGAACCAGCTGGAAGTTAGTTTGATGGTACACAACTAGCTCTTGCTTGTACGATAATTTATTTAATTTAGTTGATGATCCAACTAAACTAGGTTGATGATCTTGTGTGATTTTCAGAAAGTTGGACGTGGGATTGCAGGGCTTCAGGGCATATTTTATTGTGGAACAGGCTGCTTTCACCGCAGAAAAGTCATTTACGGCATGAGGACAGGGCGAGAAGGCACCACAGGTGAAATTGGGCAAACACTGATGTGATTGTCATACATTAGGGCTCCATTTGGTATTGCGGTAGATCATAATAATCACGTTTGCTGCAAATGTTTTTTGACGTTTGGCAGTTGGCCAACCGCTTTTCTTTTTAATTATCTACGTTAGAAATGATAATAATTATAATTATCTAATCATAATTTGGTATGTAAACACAAACAACAACAATTATTAGTATTAGTTTTCATGTCAGCCTAAACTAGTAAGAGAATTCAAATTTAATTCTTCAGGTTATTCATCTAACAAGGAGCTCCATAGTAAATTCGGAAGTTCAAATAATTTTAAGGAATCAGCCAGGGATGTCATTTATGGGAACTTGTCAACAGAGCCAATAGTAGATATATCAAGTTGCGTTGATGTTGCCAAAGAAGTAGCTGCCTGCAACTACGAGATTGGCACATGTTGGGGTCAGGAGGTACAGCCATTGCCACATGTCTATAGGATGTTACTATGCAGTTTAATTTACTATTCTATATGTTTCATAAATGTCATTCCATATATTCACAGGTTGGTTGGGTCTATGGATCACTGACAGAAGACGTGTTGACCGGACAACGGATCCATGCAGCGGGTTGGAGATCCACGCTGATGGAAATCGAACCACCAGCATTCATGGGTTGTGCACCAAATGGAGGGCCCGCCTGCCTAACCCAGTTGAAGAGATGGGCATCAGGTTTTTTAGAAATACTCATCAGTCGGAATAACCCAATCCTCACAACCACATTTAAGAGTCTCCAATTCCGACAATGCCTTGCATACCTGCACAGCTATGTGTGGCCTGTGAGGGCACCTTTCGAATTGTGCTATGCATTGTTGGGGCCTTATTGCTTACTATCAAACCAATCCTTCTTGCCAAAGGTACTACTGCATCACTAACCAATGCATCGGTTATAATCTTCTGTACTCTCCTTGCCTTCTTAACACAGTGTTGCACCTCATTTGCATATTCAAAGATAAAAAAATCTTTCCAATTGAATGGCTAGAGAGTGAGGTATATATGAACTATTAACTCTACTATTGCAGACATCAGAAGACGGTTTCTACATCGCATTAGCTCTATTCATTGCCTATAACACATACATGTTCATGGAGTTCATAGAGTGTGGGCAGTCTGCACGTGCATGTTGGAACAACCACAGGATGCAACGGATCACCTCAGCTTCTGCTTGGCTACTGGCATTTCTTACCGTCATCCTCAAGACCTTAGGCTTCTCCGAGACTGTGTTCGAGGTCACCCGCAAAGACAAGAGCACATCAGATGGTGATTCCAACACCGATGAGCCTGAGCCAGGGAGGTTCACCTTCGACGAATCGACGGTGTTCATTCCCGTGACAGCACTTGCAATGTTAAGTGTCATTGCAATCGCTGTAGGAGCATGGAGGGTGGTTTTGGTGACAACGGAAGGCTTGCCCGGTGGCCCTGGTATCAGTGAATTCATCTCCTGTGGGTGGCTGGTGCTGTGCTTCATGCCATTGCTGAGAGGTCTAGTGGGAAGTGGTCGATATGGCATTCCTTGGAGTATCAAGATGAAGGCCTGCTTGCTTGTTGCTATATTCTTGCTCTTCTGCAAAAGAAATTAATTGCAGCTGGTGTGCAGCAACAATTAGTCCATACTATTATTTGAGCATGCAAACACTAGGTTTCATCTTCATATTATTATGTCCGCAAACGTTGACTAAGCTCTAGAAAAGGGAACAATTCAATCACTAATTCGAAGCAAAAACTGGTTGTTTACTGTAAGAGAGAATCTACTCGTCCATGGCAAGTTGTCCCACCGGTGCAAACTTGATCTTAGTGGCATATATATAGTAGATTTCCTCTTATTGTACGGCCTGTATGCATGCATGAATCCTTCAAAGTAGAAGCATTGGAGCGGTCCCGTGCAAATTTATTTTCTTGGATGGATCTACTATTATAAAAATTGAAGATGTTTTTGCTGATACTTTGATACGTCATCCGTGTTTGAATCGGTTGTAATTTTATGTTTTATTTTTAATCTCTATCTCTACCTAAAAAGAACAAGAAATTTCCATAATCGGTAAAAAGGAAAAAAAGTCCGACTAAAAAGGTAAAAAAAGGGAAAAAAAAGTCCGACTCAAAAACCGATAAAAAAAACTTCTGTCGTGAAAAAAATTGTCCGACTCAGGTAAAAAAAGGTCTCGCCAGTAAAAAAAGACAAAGAAAAGTCCCTTTTTTTTTCATCGGTGACTTTTTTCACGCGAAATAGTTTTACCGTACGCACGCGCTATTGGTTTTTTCGTCTGGTTTTTTAAATCCGATCTGTTCACCACGCATCTCCCTGGTGCTTTTGGTTTTTTCATCAATTTTTTTATCACCGGGTTTTTATCCCATGCGTTTTTGGTTTTTCTTGTACGATTTTTTAATCCGATTTATTCGTGGCACGTCTACCGAGTTGAACCTTGGCGTCACGCTGGCGCCATATTAATCGTGCGTTTTTACTTCAATTTGATTGCAAAAAGAAATCGATTCCCACTCATCCCTCGTCATTTTCTCCATGATTTTCTGGGCTTTATTTCGCCGGATTTAATCTAATGGTTGCCGATGATGACAGCGATCTTCCCCAATTGTTTTTATCCTGAGTTTTACGCTCTGATTTTGGGTAAAACAACCAATTTTGGGTGATTAAGAAAGATTCGACCGGATTTGATGGGTCGAACGAAACATGCCAAATGAGGGAGGTAGCGGACCAGCCTAGGGCTGAAAACTGCTTCACTCGTGGCTGGGTGGAAACAAGAAGGCCAAACGGAGGGAGGTAGCGAACTGGCATAGGATTGAAATGTAAGGAAGGCTTTTGGCCCAAAACTCAAGAAAGATTTTGGGAAGGAATCGGGCGGCGCCGGGCAAAGGAGGGAGGGAAGGGGAGCTTCACGGGGTGGCGGTGGATTGGGAAGGCCGGCGCGGCGGTGTGGAGAAGAGGAGGCCGGCGGCGGTGGGGATAGAGAGGATGGCCAGCGAAGGTGGGGATGGAGAGGATGGACCGGCGTGGTGGGGAAGGGCGACACGAGGAGAGGCTGCCGCGGGCGACGCCGGCGCAGCCGTGCTCGGCTGAGCGTCGGCCGACTCCGCGTGGCGGTAGGAATGGAGAGGAGGGGAAAGGTTCGACACGGTGGGGAGCTCAATCCGGGGACGCCGGCATGCTGCGATGGACAGGAGTCGGTGGAGAGGGGATAGAGACTCGCTCGCCTGCCGGCTGCCACTTGCCCCGCTCCATCGGTCGGGGAGAGAGAGGGGATAGAGAGAAGAGGGGAGAAAGAGAGGAGGAAGAAGAGGAGGGTGAGATGGATGACATATGGGGCCCACGTGGGTCCCACCATTTTTTTATTATTTTCTGTGTGAGACTAACTTGTGGGGCCCATGTGGGTCCCACCACTTTTTTATTATTTTTTGTGTGAGATTGATATGTGGGTCCCGCAGATTTTATTATTTTTCCAGCTCGAATTACCACGTAAGTGCCACGTCAATGCCACGTTAGATGAAGACCGAGTCAAATTAGCCACGTTGGCGCCACGTCAGTCAAAACCGCCCTCAAAACCGTCGAGGGACCTAATCTGCACCGGTTTTGATAGTTGAGGGACCCGTTGTGTCTGGTTTTCCGGTTGAGGGATGAAATCGGATTTGTTGACAAGTTAAGGGACCTCAGATGAACTTATTCCTCTGGGTAGCGACGCAGGGGACTTGGGAGAGGCCCACGAGCCAGCCACATCGGAACAAGCAGGGGACACCGTAGCACCTGAGCCCAGCGAAGAGGTCTCCACCTCTGTCGGCTGGGAGAGAAATAAGTTCACTTTAGGTCCCTTAATTTATCGTCGAGTTTGAAATTCATCCCTAAACCAAAATACGATATAACTCATCCCCCAATTTATAATAACGTATCAACTTTGATCCTGGCGGTATAGCGGCCGCTTTTGGCTGATATGGTGAGTGGGACCTACCTGGGCTCCACATGTCAGCGGACGGAGTTAGGGGCGGTGCTTGTCTTCCTCTTCTCTAGCGCGGTGGACGGCGGGGCAGGGACGGCGCTCGGCCTTCCTCTTCTCTAGCAGCGAACGGCGGGGGTAGGGTGGACTGTGGCGGATGTTGCACGATCTTCTCTATATCACCAGCCCATCCCGCGACTCCGCCTTCGAGGCTTCAACTTGTCCGACAACAACGTAGTTAAATTCATCCTCACCACGTGGTTCCCCTTCGGCGCCAGCAGCAATGCGTCGCAGCCGGTGACGCAGTCCGTGGTGTGGTTCGCGAAGCAGTCGTTGTCCGGCGAGACAACCGTTGGCACTATGCATTCCGTGCTCAGCGTCACGGTAGACGGCCAGCTCGCGCTCACCGAAGTAGATGGCCGCATGCTATGGCGGGCACCGGTCTCCCGGCTGATGCGCGGCTCCATCCTCGTGCTCCGTGACTCTGATAGCCTCCGGCCGGTTCGTCGGTGACGCCAGCTGAAGGATCGAACAACAAGAACTAAGCCAACCAAATGGGGGTGAATGGTTGTAGTATACATACATATTATACATACATCCTAGTTATATTATTACTTAACTAATACCCTCTTTCCGATGCCCTCCTGGTGCTTCGAGAAGCCACCCTTGATTGCCGAGTTCCTTACAACAATCCGTCATGACCATCCAACTGTGGCTAAATACGGAGGAGTACCCGCCCCAGGAAATTAACTTAGTACTATATACACGCGCGGAGGAATACCCGTACTGAGCCATCACCATCAGCGGCCCACCTCGCTTCTGCAGCATATAACCTCAAATAATGATATGTAGTAATCTAAACACCATGCTTAAATTACCAAATGCTACTCTAATATCATCGTCATGACATAGAGTCATCATAAATACGATCATTATACCCACACCATCGCATCTTCCAGATAAGCTAGCATCATGATAAATGTAACTCGGGCATATAATAAAGTTGGTATTCATATACTCGGATAGTAATACAATACCAAAATAGTATAAAGAAATATTTTAATAAAAGTACAAGTCTTACAAAAGAAGGAAAAGCTACTAGAGCTATACCCGAATTCTTCCGAAGACTCCGAGGATTGAAGATTCTATTCTATTTCTATTCCACTATACTCTATAAACTATACTAAACTTGAGAGATGTATGAAGCTTCTTGCTTGAGGTGTGTCTTGAAATAGAGAGAGTGATGGCCTTAAATAAGCAGGTAATGACAGTTATGGTGGTTGGAAAGGTCGGTAATACCCTCCAACCGCCATAGGGAGTGAATCTCGACCATTCCCTTAAAACCCTGAATCCAACGGAGCTGGTGCTGGTTCGGCTGAACCCTAGGCTGGCCCAACCAGCCCACAACTTGCCAGGTGGCCTCCTGGACTTCTTCTCTTCGTAGACTTGTGAAATTTGGAACAATTGGTCGTGTCATTTTTGAGTTCTTGGCCCGTTCATTGATAAGTCTGATTCTCGACATCGTCCGATTGATTGATCGCCTGTTTTGATGTCGATTCTCCTCCATTTTGTGTTCATTCTCTGCAAGAGGATAGTAATCCTAGTTCTAGTGGAATATTTATTATTTTAACATAAGTATGCTTTGCAAGCATGACTAGTTCTCCTTTATTTTGGTAGTATTGACGGACAAAACTGATCGCTAACGACCTTCAACATTAGGAGAAGGCTAGCAACGGACCGGACGCCGCTAAGCGCGACTGACCGCCGCTAAGCGCGACCAACCGCCGGTAGGCCAACAAAGAAACATAGCCGAGATCGCACAAAACCCAACCCTTACAATCAACACAAAGCCTCGCTCTATCCAGTCTTCAGGAGTTAGGGAGAGAGGGTGAGAGAGAGAACGGAACTCCTCTCCCCCCTAGGCCCTCCGACGCAGCCAACTTGTAGAGACTAGGATGCCGCCACAAGAGAATGAAATCTAGAGTGGGCTTGCACCAATTGGTTGGGGGTTTCAACTAGGGGATGCCTAAACGACGTCTCCAAGGAGAGAAACGACGGAAAACGCCGCCGCCGCCGTCCGTCAAGGTCTCAAAGAGAACCGAGACTGGGCTTTCACCCGACATCTACACATGAGGGATGAGACGGCACGACAACGCCCTCGGGAGGGGAATGACACTTCGAGCGTCATCGTTGCCAGCCCGACCGAGGTTGAGCTGGGTTTTCACCGACCGCTCACCACCTGCGAGTCCACGGCTGGCGCCCCGATGCTCCACCACCATCCATCCTCTGCCGGCATGTGGGTCCACTACACTAGCATCCCCCACCGGCCAGCCTTCGTGCGCCGAAGACTGCACCGCACTCACCGGCAGTTCCTTCTCCTTGCACCGTGCCCGCCTGTGTCACTACTGGCCTCGTCCACTGCCGGCCACGCCTCTTCGCGCCAGGTCGGTCTCCCGCCACCGGCCGCACTACCGCTGGCTACGCCTCCTTGCGCCGTGCCGACCTCCGCTGCCACCGGCGGAACCTCTATGCACCAAGCTAGCCTCTGAGCACTCCTCCCGCCGCTGCCGCGCCGGCCAAATGCTGTCATCTGCCACGCCACCCTGGCTAGCCGCCCGAGGCCGTCCTTGCCTCCTCTCACAATCGTCGTAGCCCGTTTCCAGACGTCGACACCGCATCCACACCTTCCTCGCCTCTACATGCTGCCACCGGCAACCGACGCCGCATTCACAGCCGTTGCCGCCGTCAGCCACCGCCGTCGCCAGCCACAACCGCCGCCAGCAGCGCCTCCAGCCGCTACTACCAACGGCCGGCCGGCCGCTGTCGCCGTAGGCCTCACGCCGCCATCGACCTGCCGCGATGGGCGCTCCTACTGAGAGCTCGCCCGCTATCGCCGACCCATCGCCGCGAGCTCCGCTGCCCCCGCTGCGAGCTCGCCCAATCTGACCGCCGGGTGGCCAGATCCGCCTCCGGGGGGCCGGATCCGGCGCGCCGTTTACATCCCTGCCTCCGTCGACCCAGCCATGCCTCTACCGTCGTCGTCGCCATCCCCGCCGCCAGCCACCCCCCCCTCCTCGGGCAGATCCGGCCAGAGCGGCGTGGATCTGGCGGTCACCGCCACCACTATCCTTGCGGCCACGCGGCTTGGCCGGCGGCCGCTCAGGCGGCGGCGAGGCGAAGGAGGAAGATGGGGGGAGGGTGTGGTCGGAGCTCGTCTCCTCCCGTGCTGCCCCTGGTGGAGGGCGACGCGAGAGCGAGAAGTGCAGGCTTCCTCTGCCTTGATCCAGAGACCCGGTGTTGCTGTGCATGGTTTGAGTTTTTCCTTTCCCGCATGCAACAAAATCACCACTATGGGAGCGCGTTTGGACTTCCAGACCAAAGGAGAGAGCAACACTATTTGTGTAGAGTCACTACAAATTGCCTTATAGGGACATTTTCCTAATACTATGTAGGCATTTTTAAAATGCCTTTACGATGTTTTAGAGACATTTTAAAGAATGCCTCATAGGTGACTTTTTTTAGTGAATTATCTCTATAAACGAAAATGCATTTTATATAATATCTCTATGCCTTGCGGCATTTTTGTACATACATTTTTATATCTATAAGAAAATAGAGACACTTTCTAGATGCACTTCGTTGTGCAGGAACTATAGCAAATCAATGTGAAAAAAAAAAGAAAAAATATCATACCATGCCAATCTTGGAATTCATGACCTCTTGAGTTCATAACTTTTATCTTCAATATACTAACCATCTCAACCTCAAATCATTATTTGTGAATATATGTCTTGTATTAGTTATATCTAGTTTCTTAGCATACATTAAGATTTGGAAAAGTGCCTCTACATAGCTAGGTTAAAATGCCTTTACAAATGAGGCAATATTTAAAGTGCCAAAAAAAATGTCTCTACAGCATAAATTTAACAAAATGTGTTATAAATGCCTTTGAAGTGCTTATAGATTAAAAGTATTCTAGGAGATTTTGAAAGTGTCTCTAAACTGTAAACTGTAGAACTCCTGATTTTAGTGGCAAATTAAATATTCTCTACAAAAGTACGTCTATGTAAGATTTTTCTTGTATGAGTGCTCCAGCGAGGATTAATGGAGATTACCAATCTCCGATACCTCGGAAAAAGCTCCACTGTGTTCTTATTATTATTGCTTCTTGCTTTTCATCAACTATAATTTGTAGAATTGCAAGGAAAGGCTATAGGTTGTAAAACTTGGGCTACACTCTTTAAACCTAGACACTTAAGCTAGTATGCTTACACTTAAGCTTGTCCCAGCTGCAGCTTTTCCCAAAAGCTGCTTCTGCTAGAAGCTGCCCAAACAGTCCATAGCTTCTGAGAATTTGTAGTTACAGATTCTGAAAAATGAACTAAGAAGTCAGAAGCTGGAGAAGCTAGGTTTCAGAGCTTTTCCAAATTCTCAGAAGCTGGCTACCAAACAGCTGCTTCTCAGAATCTAAAGCTCCCCCAAACAGGCCCTACGTATAGGATTCCAATTTACCACCCTCTACAACATCTTTGAACATACAAGGCAATCATCCTTGTGTTGCTTAAAAGCATCTCAATTGACAATTTGACAAGTCTATGGTATGTAAGTATTACATATCAGAAACACCAAATTCATAGAAATTTTACATGCTATATGCCACGCCTTACTTCCTTAAAAGGCATGATATGTTATAATGTTTTAATGGAGTACTGTTAATTACAAACCAGCAAACAAATTTATTGTAAATCTATAGGTAGCAGTGACGTTGAATGTGAACCTCCCGTGATAGCATTCAGTAGTCTTGGCAATGGTGGCATTTTGAGTTCTAGTAGACCCTCTAGGAATTGCACCACCTCGCCCATTGTCGGGCGGTCAAACTCACTGTCTTGAATACACCAACAAGCAACTTTGCAAACTCGTTCAACCTCCTCGAGATTCACATCACCATGTAATTTTGCATCCACCAAATTTTCAATCCCTCCATTGATAAGCTGGCGGGCAACTTGCATAGGAAAATAGGCCGAATGACCCCTACAATATTCTTGATTTGAGTTCCTCCTTCCTGATATTATTTCAAACAAAACCATCCCATAGCTGTAAACATCTACTTTAGATGTAACAACAGTCCCGCTAATCCATTCAGGGGCAAGATATCCAATAGTTCCTCTTACTGTAGTAAGAGCATGACTAAATTCTCTCCCCAAAACCTTTGCCATTCCAAAATCTGCTATTTTGGGAACAAAAGATGCATCAAGAAGTATATTCTCTGGCTTGATATCACAATGTATAATGCAATCTCGACAACTATCGTGCAAGTAAGCAAGGCCTTTGGCAACTCCAATAGCTATTTGGTACCTAATATTCCACTCCAAAACTTTATCATTATCCTTAAATAGATGCACATCGAGGGAGCGGTTTGTCATGTATTCATACACAAGTAACTTCTTACCATCTTCACAGCAAAACCCTATCAGTTTAACTAAATTGATATGCTGGATTATCCCAATTGAATTTACTTCAGCTCTGAATTGCTTCACTCCTTGGCAGGCACCGTCAAGCCTTTTCACTGCAATGATAATTGAGTCATTTAGGTATCCCTTAAACACAGAACCAAAACTTCCTCCCCCCAACTTCTCTGAAAAATTTTTGGTTGCGCATTGCAAATCGGTATATCGAAATGCCCTGATCCCAATGCCTTCCTGAGCATTTTCCACTCCACGAGAAAACCATTTCTGTTTTCTCATCCAAAACACCAGTACAAATATCATCAAACACAAAGCACTCATGCTTGCAGCAATGGTGACACCAATGACGGTTCCGCTCTTTTTCTTCCTTTCCACACTTTGCACCTCATTTGCAGCAACGCGAATGTAAAGAGTTTCCCCATTTCCATCAGCAGATCCATCAGATTGTTGCCTTACATTATACAGCGCGTCATGCCAAACAGAGCATCCTCCTTTCCCATAGGAATATGCAGTACAGGAGCAATTGCTCAAGCAAACTTCTGAGCATTGATCTTTACTGCCAGCTGTCTGCACACTCATGGCATTATGGGGCAATATAATGTTTTGCACACAGTAGAACTTATCTGTGAACCCTTTCTTGTTCATGGTACTGCCACAATTTAAAGGAGTATTCCTCATACAACCTCCTGATCGATCTTCTAGATCCCAATTCTTGGGTGATCTTATAGAGAAACCCTTCAAGCAGTCACAGAATGGATTGTTACTGTCATTGCAGACTGAGAAAGGTCCACAGATTGCGTAAACATCGCAGTGAAGTATGGGCATCCTGTAGTTGATCAACCAATTCTGCAAGCTGTCCAACCATATACCTGCCAAACCTCGACCATTGACATCTATTCCAGCATGTGTAATCTTCTCCTTCGTCAGGGTATATGAGAGGTAAACCTCTCTGTCATTGTTGACATAAGTGAAATTGGGTATGGTTGCGCCAATCATCTCTGGCGCTAAGCCGAAGAAATGCCCATTCCAATCCCCAGTGGACCAATATACTACAGTTGAGTTCCATAACAAATGACCAGTACCATTGATATCAAACTCCACCGAGTATAAACCAGCAGCCTGGTCAATCGAATTTTTCCTAGAAACAAGACGGTTCTTCTGGCCAGTCACTTTGTTCCTGAAAATCTTTGCGCCAGCGAAAAGGCTATCTGTCGGGTAGTCAAAGCTCTGCCAGAAAACCTTGGATGAGTTTGAGGAGCTCTGCAGTACAAGATTCCCGTTGTTCAACAACACTACAATGGTGTGGTTGGTTCTGGTGTTCACATGGGTGGACCATATGATGTTCTTGGTAACCTGATCCAAGATGACCATGTTTCCATCACTTGATATTGCCAGCTCCGGCGAAGCGGGGTCCACGACCGGGTTTTCGCCATTGGCGGACCACAGAGGAGTTATCATAGGGAGCTTGCTGTACCATATGCAAAGGTAAGAGTTGTGGCTGGCATAGGAGGAGTTCTTACTCTCCGTCTTGAAGAAGCCGAGCACGAACTTGCTGTTGTTGGAGACAAGCCTATCGCTTCCGGTGAGTGCATGGCCAGGTGACACGGTGTCTGTGGCGGCAGAGATTCTCGGAGGGTACAGGGAGAATAGGAGGAAGCAAAGAAGGAGAGACATGTAGAGAATACAGTGAAGAGAAGCTAAGTGGAGGAGTGGAATTTGTAAGGAAAACGATTGATGCTCACGAACGCAATGCAAACATCAGGTCCAATGGTTTAGAAGCCAGACCACTGATCAGTTGTCTGTAGAGCTCGCAGAATCTCAGGTCAACGTGGTGGTGCGGGTAAAACGTCCTAATCAGTCTGTATTAACAACTGATAGTGTGCTGACCTCGATCTTAATAAATCTTCCCTCATTGATCAGACATCAACAAATGGAGCGTTTTGACTGCGTAATGATCTGTGGTTTGTGCATATTCAAGAGAAATCTGTTTGGCATCTCTTCCAGCAACTTCCAGTTGAGGTATTCTTTTAAGAGGACTCTTTTTTTTAAAACATTGCAATTAGGTTGACTTCTCAATGCAATTGGCGCTGCTTGTTGGAGACTCTTTCGATTCTTCCCCTTTTTTGTCGACCAATCATGGATTTATTTCCAAAGTGAAAACTTTAGCCAAAATGAAAGCTCAGTTTCACAACTGATGAGATCAATCTGATATTACTTGTCCAGCAGGAAATCAATGTCATAATGATCACAGATTTGGGCAAAGCATTACCAAGCGATGTGAGATAATTGATGGCAACTTAAAATGGGTTTTGATTTTGGCACTATCAGAATGATGCATAATCCAGTCCATGGCAAACAAAATAAAAGTGCAGATATGCAATTAGTCACTGCGGAATGAAGTAATAGTAATTTTACTATCCTTGTACCACATTGTTTATATAAAATCTTCAGAAATTATCTATCTTGAGATACCATCATTTTACAGAAAAATTGAGTAAATTTTATAAAACCCCAGGTACTATAATTTGTTTCAAAGAACCCAAGGTTTTGGGCCAAAATGTTTCAAGAAACCTCACGTTTAAGCATATTATCACACCCCGATCCGGCACCGCCGTACAACGGCACCTGACAGGAGCGTGTCGTAGGAAAAACGGCGCGAACCGCTTCCTACGAAACCGCGATTACAGTACCAGTCCCAGGACATAGTGCTGGTACCCACGGTGACAAATATGAACCATCGCAAATCCTTAAAATAAATAAAGGACTTATTTACCTTAACTTACGTTGCAGCTCAGAACAGCCCGAGAATGCAACCGACGACGCGGACAAGGAAAACACCAACAACAGCAGCAGCAGCGGAACCAACGGACTAACACCCAACACCACAGGCGACGGCTGGGAACCAGGACAAAACCCTATTCTTCACTTCACTTCATCTTCAGCTTCAGGACGGAGGAACTATATATATATTTATATAGAGCAAGGGTGAGTAGTTTTGTACTCAGCAAGTCACGGGGATTTAGGTGTTTAATGCAAGCTTGGAAGAGAGGCAAGGTTGTTTTGCAAATCCTTTGTTTGAAATCTTTTGAAATCACTAAGTGATTTATTTCTTTCTAAGTTTGGGTCGAAAAGAGACTTGCGTCTCGATTTGACTTAAGAGATGCTTTTCAATAACTCAATTGGTAATGTACCGACCTCCCGGGTCAGATCATTACTTCTCGGCTCCAAGAGCCATTTCACTTGATTAATCGGCTCCCAGAGCCTTTTTCATTTTCTCGGACTCCCAGAGTCCAGCTGCCCAGCAGCAAAGCAATCCGCTTCCTCTCGGGAAGCCTAGTCTATAATGCCCGCAGACATCCCGAATCACACAGATTCGTTTCTGACCACTCAGGTCATCCATCTGCCACATAGGCTGATCTGGTTACGATTCCCATCCCACAACAACTTTTCACAAAGCACAGGCAAACAAATCTACGCAACAGGAACCACCTCACATCCGCCCATGACCGTGGGCACGGCTGTTTGAACAGTTAGTTAACCTCTACAGAGGGGTACACTTTACCCACAAGATACGAACTTATTCTGAACACCCGTCGGTATCGGAGGTTCGCAACAAAGCCTTTCCTAAGCCGACCCAGGGTTACCTCATGCCACGTAGAAGGATCAAATCCTCATATAAATATAGGCCATTTTAGTTTTCACAAATCAAACTCCAACCACCTCGATCGGTAATCTGGCAAGCTTCGCGTTCTTGCCTTACCAGGAACCCGGGTTGGCTCCAACCGACCCTGCCCCGGCATTCCCCAACTATTGGCATGCGAGGTTTCCCTGAACCGACTAGTTACTTAGCTAGGGTGTCCCATTCCACCTTGTGGTTGCACTTTGTTATGCTTGATGAATTTCCCACAGGAATCGGTCCTTATATGCGAATACGGGACAGTGCCACACAGGCACAACCCCCGCATCGCGAGTTATCACAATTCATTTTATTTTTAAACACACCGACACCACAGGTTGGGTTTTCAAGGCTTCTCAAACCCATTTCCCAATTTTTGGACAATCAACAGTGTATGTGGGATATTTGATATACGCGCTCAAAGAGCACGGATACCGAAGTCCCACAAGGGTGGAGCGACAAGGAATCAGGGTAGTACAACCTATAGGAATTAGTGCGACTACTGGGTAGGTCCGTCGGTTTGGCACGCAAACCGAGGCCAAGCAAGTTAAGTGTGTGACTCTAATAATGCAAGTTGCAAACAAAACAATAATGATTTTCCAATTATAGGAGCAATTGGTCAAAAGGTGACTTGCCTTGCTCAAGGTCTTCACGGAGCTTCACGAATCTTCGAGAAAACCCGCGATCGGCGAAAATCCGGTAACCGCAACTATACGCAAACAAACAAAAACCTAAACAAAAGACCAAGAAAAAGACCCTATTTAGACTAAATAATAGTGCCATTAAATAGATCTCAATTTTTACGGAATTACTGGAAATAGAACGGAGTCAATCGGAAGAGCGGTTGGGAAGATATGAATTTTGGAAGTTTAATTGGAATTTCTGGAAGACGAGAAATGGTTTATGGAATTTATAGAAATAATATTCTCAAGAATATTATTGACAGTCACTGACGTGCGGGACCAAAGGAAAATGATTCATGGAATTTTGGAATAAAGAATTTTATTTATGGAACAAAGGAAAAAGATTTATTAAATCCCTTGGAAAATTAAAGGGATGAGGGATGTGATTTGGACTTATCTCGGGTGGCATTGGTGCGGCCCAAAGGGTTGAAGGAGGCTCGGCCGAGCCATTGGGCCGGGCGCGGCCACGGGGAGGCGGCCCAACAGAGGGGGCGCGGGGGAGAGAGAGACGGCCCGGTGGACCGATTCCACCGCGCGGGGTCCCGGGTGGGGCCCGCTTGTCGGTGATACGGCCCACGGTGGGATGGACGCACGCGAGGGTGGCGCTAGGGTTCGGGGGGGGGGAGAAGCGGTCCACGCGCGGCGCGCGGGTGGACGCGGTGTGCGGCGGGCCCACGCGCAGCCTGTTGGCTCTCCGTGGACCGTGCGCGAGGGTGGGGGACGGAGGGAGGTGGCTGACCGAGGTCAGCTTTGACCTGGTCGCGTCGAGGTGGCGCCGACGTGGCAGCTACGTGGCAGCCACGCGGGCCGGGCGAGAGGAGGAAGAAGAACAGGAGCTCCAACCAACGGTGGCCGACGGCGGGGTTTCACCGGAGCACGACGTGGCGATTCGATCGAGAGGGAGTTCACCGGTACAAAGGGGAGCACGAGAGGGGTTGAGCCAATGGCTCGGATCCTTCGAAGAGGGGCCGACGACGACGAATCGCGGCGGCGCACGCCGGCGGCGAGAAAAGGGGGAAACGGCGGAGGGGTGACGGGGATTCAATTCAAGGCGGTGGGAGCGTGTCCGGGGTTCAAGAAATCCGTTTCCGGCATCGGATGGGGTGGAGGAGCACCGAGGAGGGCTAGCGATGGCGGCGGGCTCCGGAAGCGGGTGGCAATGGCGGCGAGGCCATGCCGAGCGGCGGCGGAGCTCGGGGCGGCGTCTACGCGCGTTCGAGGGGCTAGTAGAGCTACCACACAAGCTAGAGAGGGCGAGGAAGAACGAGGAAGGAGAACGGAGGGAGTCTCTACCGAGTTAGGACGGCACGGTGACGAGTGGCCGACGGCGCGGAGTGAGTTCTCCGTTCTCAGACCGGGGAAGGGGAAGAAGGAGGGTGCTCGGAGTCCCGCGTCACGCGTCCTCGCACGCACCGGCCTCCCCGGTGCTTGGCGACGAACGGCGACGGCGAGAGCGGAGCGAGCAACAACAATAGCGCGGCGGTGTTGGAAGTGAAACGAGAGGAGGATTCGATGGGAGGGGCTCGGGTTTTATAGGTGGCCGGGTGAGGAGCTTCGAGGGGAAGGAACTGACTCGGGAGAGGCGGTCAAGGAGAGGAGCTGGCGGTCACGCCCGTGGTCCAGGCGGCGGTAGGCGGTCACGGGCGGTGTCGGGCAAAATGGAAAAAGGGGGGGGGGGCAAAGGGAGCTCTGTTCTTGCCGAAACGGGGAATGGGAGAGGGAGAGAAGAGCGCGTGAGGCAGAGAGTCGCGCTGCCTATATGTCTTGGACGCACGCGCGCACAGGGTGGGGGCGAGCGGCAGGGCGGCATGGGCGGCTGCGCGGCGCAGGCGGCCAGGGCTGACGCGGCGGCGACCGAGCGGTCTGCCACGCGCGGGCGAGCGCGTGCGCGACGCGAGGGCGCGGCGGAATTCAGAGGCGGCGGCGGGAATCGGCGCCGGGAGGGGAGAGAGCAGAGAGAGAGAGCGAAGACGGGAGAGAGAAAGAACGAGAGAGCGAGAGAGCTCTCTCTCGGCTCGGCTCGGCGCGTGCAACGCACGTGCGAGGCTGAGGGAGGAGAAACGGCTGAGAGAGGGAGGTGGGCTAAGGGGGGAAAACGGCCCACAATTGGAGTTTGTATTTGGATTCAAATTCGATATTCGAACTCGAGGGTTCAGGGAGGAATCAAGGAAGACTCAAGGTAGGGTTTGATATTTTTCGGAATTGGGAGCGAGTATTTGCCGAGGATTCAAAGGATGCGATTGAATTTCGGAATTTGATTTGGAGATTTGAGTCGAAGGAGGAATTTCGAGGTGGAGGATTTTGATTTTGATGAGAGGGAACAAGGGGATTGAATTGAGATCCTGGCACGACTTAGACTCTCACACAAAGAACGAAAATTTTCGTAATTAGGATTTTGCCGAATTAGTTTTAAACGTCTCACGAAAAGCGGAGCGTTACACATATATATTTTAATATATTTATGCATAATATTTGTAAAAAATAATATGAGATATTCCGGAGTATATATACCTTAGCCTCTTTTAAACGATTATCTTTGCATCAATTATTGGTAGTATGATTAATGTTTATCTATACAAGTAATTACCAATTAATACATCACTATTAGTAAGGTTGTCTAATGTTTTTCAATCGTGCAATGTAAGAGTAGGGAAAAAGATGAAGTGCACGAGAGGGGTATGTATTTTGAGCCTACTAATGTAAATATATACTAAAAATATTATATATAATAATAAAATTATGAGTATGTGATAAACATGTGGTTTATTGAAACACTTTACCCCCAAAATCTGATATTCATTGAAACAAAACATAATACATAAGGTTTTGCATTAGATGTATCTCAAAACTTGGAGTTTTCTGAAATTCTAAAAAATTTGGTATCTGTAGATAATCTACTAAGAACTGTAAAATTACCCTGAATTAACAGGAGTCAATTGTAATATGTATGTTTACTGTTGACGTGCTGAGACGCAAATCACTTGGTCTCTGATTTGGACCTCCTTTCAATTATTAATTCCAGATTGGTGAAGTGTCCTGCCCAGTTGATCTATATTGGCAGATCATGGTGTGATGCCAATCCTAGAATTCTTTCAACGCCAAAGATCAATATTAGATCACTGCTCTATAAGCTCTATGTGCCAAGTCTTCTGTTTCTATAGCCCACTAGCAGCAACCACAGACCGGCTCCTTGTAAGGGCATCCACAATGTTGCTTTTTAGCCAGTAAGAAGCATTTAATGCTCTCTTCCTACTGGGTAGGAAGCATTGTGAGAGTGGCACAGAGTTAAAACCCGGCCATACCTCTACTACCGATGAAGAAGAGATAAAGAATATTATTTGTACAGTGTTTCTGACAGTACTTTAAAAAAAATGAAAGTTGCCGTTGCTTTTCAACCGTTGCTTGCTACCCGTTGCTTAGTCACTGCATTGTGCCATTCTTCAGTCTCATACTACAGAAATAACACACAATATATATAGATTGTTGAACAACACAGATACATTCTACCAGATAGTTGAGATGGATCCCTCCAACAGAGTTTTCACAAACTTGTTGAATCAAGGGTCCCCAAGCCAATATTCTGGGAACAGTAGCCAAAACTCCCCTCCTACTCAATTCCCCTCAACCTTCACCCAATCACAGTATCCCCAATCCCCACAGTTTCCACAATCGCAAGCACTAAATTTTCATAACTTCCACCCTTTTGGTCCTCCAGCAAACTATCAATTATATGGCAATCCTCCTCCAAGTTTTCATGGTTTTCAGCAGCAAGGCAATTGGTTAAAATCTGCAGCATTAAGCTTTCAAGGTTTTCGTCATCAAGAAAGTTGGATGCACTCACCAAATCAGGTTGGTGGATCTGCTTCTTCTCATGGATCTGAATCAACTTCTCCATGCCCTGCAACATCGCAAGCCAAAAGTGTTGTTAACATTGAAGAGTCTAGTGGCAACAATGAAGAAGCTGGGAGGAAAGGGACATGGGTCAACTGGACTGAAGAAGAAAATCTACGGCTCCTTAGTTCTTGGTTGAACAATTCAGTGGATCCAATAGATAGCAATGACAAGAAGTCAGAGTACTATTGGAGGGCTGTAGCTGCAGAGTATAACAACAATACACGTCGTAATGATCGCAAAAGGACAGTCGTGAAATGTAAGACACATTGGGGTGGTGTCGACGACGGCAAGAGAGTGCGACGGGATGGGGACGAGAATCGTGTCGCCGGCGGCAAGAGAGTGCGACGGACTCGAGAGAGAAATTGGGGGTCGAGAACTTGCAGGAAGGAATCACGCGGCAGTCACGGAATTTTACTATCGGTGATTTTTTTTTGCTGGCCCCACCTTATTCCCCTCCGACGCGCAGAAACAATGTGGAGGGTGCGATGGCTTAATACCGCCTGACCCCTGCGCCCACAGTATTGCCGAACTCAGCAACAAACATTGCGCTTGCCCTAAGGGAGCATATGTGTGCGATTCCATGTCAAGAAGTTGAGCCAATATTTTTTTTATTTCGATGGTTCCTGTTCATTGCCACCTATATTATAGATATTGAAGTAAAATGCATTACTGGTATAAACTTATAAAAGAGTGCAATCTAGTTCATGAACTTGTAAAACGCTTATTTTGTTGTATGAACTTGTCTCGTATGTGCGACCCAAGACATATAATGGCATGATAAGGCAAATTATAATAAGTTGACCACAAAGGAGTACATGACATGTTATATGAGGTGGAATGCTTTTGGTTTCTACTTTATCCTTCTTCATTTCTACCCCTTGCATTATTATTTAGTTTGAGAAATTTGCATATGTGTGATACTTAAAAGGTGGTTTCGCTACAATATATGCCATCGTTAAAATATGATTCTCTCGGATACCATTCTCAAGTCATGGGCATTCGCTAAAATGCCATTTTCGTTGTATCTTTCATTTGCAAAACATTTTTCATCCAAATATTTTTTTTCTCAGACACTTTTGCCCCTGACTATGGTTGAACCAAACTACATCTTCTACCTCAAGCTTCTCAGGACCAGGCGAGAGGAGAGAAGGGCGACCACTCCGGCGCCGCCGCCCGCCAGACACGCTGCCGCCTTCCCCAACCGAGCTGTGCCACCTCTCCCCACCATCCGCGCCGCCTTGCATGCCATCCATTTGCCCCCAATTCCACGCCGCCGCTTCCCCCCCCCCCCACCATCTGAGCCAGACTAAGGAGCTGCAGTTGCTGAAACTGGAGGGGGCGCTGCAGCTAGAGGAGGCACAACACGCAGAGGAGGAGGCGCTAGCGCTCGCCGAGATGGAGAAGACCAAGTTCCGAGGTGCGCACCCGCCAGGAGGGCGACAAGAAGGTGCGCGCCCGCCGGGAGGCTGACGGGAAGGTGCGCGCCCGCAAGTAGGCCGATGAGAAGGTGCGTGTCCAGGAGGCCATCTCCAGCCACGACTTCCACTACCGACAACATCGAGCTCACCACCGAGCGCTTCTTCGACGGGCACAAGATCGGCAGATGGCGGGGGAAGGCGACGCGGTCAGGGAAGGTGGCGGCGCAGATGGCGGGTGGAGGCGGCGCAGATGGTGGGGAGAGGCAGCGGCATGTGTTCACGGGCGGTGGCGCAGAGTGAGAGAGACGACGACGACGCTGTCCCCAGCCGCCCCCTGCCGAGCCGAGCCTCCTTCCCCAACTGCGCCGGTGTCACCTGCTGCCGAGCCACGTCGCCTCCCCGTCGAGCGCGCGGCAGATGGTGGGTGCCATCGGCGTTGTCACCCCTGGCGCCGCTTCTCTCTCGGTTCGTGAAAAACGCGGTCACCAGAAAAAGAAAGAAGATGTGGTTTGGTTCAACCACAGCTAGGGGCAAAAACATCCAACAAAAAATTATTTGGATGAAAATTATTTTACAATTGTAAGAAATAGCGAAAATGGCATTGTAGCTAATGCCCATGGCTTAAGATTGGATGTGTAGCGAATCTCATTTTAACGATAGCATTTTTACGAAGCCAGTTCCAAAGAATGGCACATATGCAAATTTCTAATTTAGTTTTGTATCTCTTTCTTTATGCGATTGTTATGCCTATGTTTTGCTGAATAAATATGTCTACTTGATATCCTTCTGAGATACTCCCTCTGTTCTTTTTTCTACGATGTTGGTTAGTTCAATTTGACAAACCAACGTAATAAATTATGGGAAGGAGGTAGGCATGTTTACACAGCATTCAAAAACAACAAAATCAGCAAGATTAACCTTGTTGTACCATTTTGACCTTGGTTAACATGCACCGGATAAGTTTGTGCTCTAAAATGAGCATTTTACATGTTCAAACACTAGATCGTAGAGTTTGTGTATCACCAATGTAATTTATTCTAGATATTTGCTCAACTTATTTATTTGTTTTATACAAATTCCCACAACAACGTGTGAGCTTTTTTCTAATTTCTAATAAAGGAAAATTGCAAAACTCAGTCCAAATGTCACTCTGAATTTGATATTCCTCCATGTAAGACGATTTGTTGCAAATGCCTCTTCTAATTCACCTTGAGATCCCCACAACCCCCCCCCCCCCCCAAAAAAAAAAAGCCGTTGCTCATCCATTACCATGGAGGCAACACCACATGTACTAATATCTCTGTTATTATAAAAAAATGAAGGTGTTCTCGCCGGAATATTGGTACACCGTCCGTGTTTGATTTGGTCATACTTTGGTATTTTGCATGTATCCAATTCAACGTAAGTCTAGAATAACTATTATACACCACTTCCAACCCAACCACTCCTACTCTCAGCCTAACCCAATCAGCCCACACTATCCCATCGCCCCATCCCTCACCCCCCTCCCTTGATCGATGTCTTTTTTTCTCATCCATTTTCTCGTTTCTTTTTCACCTTTTCTTTTCTCCCAATCATCCTGATCCTGCATCTGTGTTTCAAAAAAAAAATCGTCCTGCGCCTCTCCCTCTTCTTCTAATCAACTCTCTTTTCTCCTCATTTTCTCTTTTTTTTTCTCTTCGAAATTTCCCTCCTCATAAATATTTTTCTTTTGAAATTATCATTGTTTAAGGTATAGATGGCTATAAGGCCCGCCCGGCACGGCCCGGCCCAGGCATGGCCCACGGTCGTCGAGCCAGCATGGCACGGTCAGCACTTCGGGCCGTGCCGTGCCAGCCTGAAGGCAAGGGTAGCCCATCGTGCCTTCATTAAAATAAGTTTATTTCCCCTCCCTTCTTTTTGGCTGTGATATATATATATATATATATATATATATATATATATATATATATATATAATAAGTCTATTTTACGTCTCTACTCTTTGTGACGTGCTTTACATATGTTTGAGAATAAGTCTGTTTCGCATCCCTAAACTTTGGGCCGGGCCGTGTCGTCCCAGAGTGCCGAGGAAGCAGCCCAAGCATGGCACGGCTGTTGGGCCGAGCCGGCATGGGCACGACCGGAGTCGGACCGTGCCGTGCTTGGGCCGGGCCAAATTTATCGGGCCTTGGGCGGGCCATATGGCCATTGTTGGGATTTCTTAACGACATTACTAGAAATATAATTCCCCGCAATGGCGCAGAAATACTTCTGGTATATTATGGTTACAGAGTGTATCCGCAAGCGCATGGATATACCATTGTACCATTTCACCCGAGAGTATTCCAAGGGTATCGTATTTATTTTATCCCGTGGGAAGATCATGTAGAGAGAGATTGACTAATAGTTTATATATTCCTTGTGATAATCATATTCTAAACAGGGGTTAAGATAATCCAAGGGTAGAGTGACACACAAGCATAGAGTGACACACAAGCATTAACAACTCATTCTCATAATAAATGATCTAAGCTAGGTGGAAAGAAAAGAGAAAGAGAATCTATTCCTATACCTCTAATATACATAATATACATATATTCTAGTTAACTGATATACTAGCAAATACCCTCTATCCGATGCCCTCCTGGTACTTCGAGAAGCTACCCCTGACTGTCGAATTCCTTACGACAGCACGTCATGACCATACAACCGGGGCTAAATACGGAGGAATACCCTCCCCAGGGAATTAACTTAGGATTATATATAGGCGCGGAGGAATACCCGTACTGAGCTGTCACCATCAGCGGCCCACCTCTCATCCGCAATATATAACCCCAAATAATGATATCCCGTAATCTAGACACCACGCCTAAACTACCAGATACTACTCTAATATCATCGTCATGACATAGAGTAATTGCATATGCAAACATTATACCGCACCAAAGCATCTCCCAGATAAGCTAGCCGTATATTCAGTATAACATGAACATAATGTAAAGTAGGTACTCATATACTTAGAAAGTATTTCAATACCATAAATGTATATAGAAGAGTATTCTAATAAAAGTACAAAGCTTACAAAAGAGGAAAGGAAAGCTGCTAAAGCCATACCCGAACTCTTCTGAAGGCTTCCGAACTCCTGATTCCTGTTCTATTTCTATTTCACCAGCTAGATACTACTAAACTAAACTTGAGAGAAATGAGAGAGCTCTTGCTTGAGGTGTGTGTTGAGTGAAGAGAGTGAGCTCCTTATATAGAGGTAGTTATGATGGTTGTGGAAGGGGAATTATCCAAAGTGCCCTCCAACCGTCATTGGGATGCAATCCTGGACATCCACGCCAAAACCTGGATCCAACTGCACTAGGATTGGTTCGGCCAAACCTGGGGCTGGCCCAATCCAGCCCAATTTTGGCTGGTGGCTTCCTCTATTGCTCCACTCTGCAGACTTGTGAATTTTGGCCCAATTCATCGTGTCAGTTCTGAGTTCTTGGCCTATTCATACACAAGTCTGGTTCTCGACATCGTCCGATTGATTTATCACCTGAGTTGATGTCGATTCTCCTCCACTTTAGTGTCATTCCCTTCAAGAGGTTAGTATACCTAATACTAGTGGAAGTTTATTATTCTAACAGATATATGCATTGCAATCATCACTAGTTCTCCTCTATTTTGGTAATATTGACGGTCAAAACTGATCGATAACGACCGTCAACGGCCATCTATAGTTTAAGGTGTGTATGGTGCAAGTTTGTTACATTGCAAATACTTTTCATCTATAGTAAAAAAGACTTTCACTAATTGAATAATCAAAATTTTAATCTTTGGTCAATATGATATAGCAAAATACCCATTCATCAATTTATGGAATAGACATCCGATCGATTTGCGAGGCTATGGAATGGTGTATATAAGGTATTCTTCGTGTGATGACGCATGAGGTGAGCGCTATCGGGTTCAATGTTATATATGATTTCTGACTTTTTTTTGCCATTGTTTTGTTAGTCTTATTTCAGTTTGTCTTTTAAATTGGTTGAGTTTTTATCAATTGTAAAAATTGTCTTCACCTGTTGCTACACACATGCATTTTTGCTAGTGAATACTAATAGGTGAAGAGCCATGATCGTTAGTCATGTCGGCCATGCCCTATGACATGATCGTGGCATCCCAATTCAGGAAGCCCGGCACGTCGTTGGGCGGTAGTGGTCACGAGTCTTCTTCTAAAACATTGGGGGCACTACATGATGAATTGTTGTGCTTACTTCATGGGGTTCGGTGGTGGATGATTTCTTTGGTAGATTCAAGATGATAAAGATGAGCTTGGTGCAACACTTAGGTCACTGTTAGTAGACTGGTGAGAAAAGAAGTCATAGAATACATGCAGACAAAGGTTAATGAATGCATGGACAACGGCAATTGGGGAGGACTCACACAAAGCTAAATAGTAGGGCGTATTAGCAATAAATCATTTTATAGGGGGGAATCTTAAACTCAAGGAGATATTTGGGATGGTTTTTGCATTTTTTTATTTTAGTTAACCATGGAGCTGTTACACGCCGAGACGATGGTATGGCAGCGAGATGGTGTAAAAGGGGTGCCTAGACTAGAGAGGAGAGTGGTCGAATAGGAAGTTGCGGAGTGGGTATCAGGATCGCTCACAATCGCCTTTTGGGACTAACAAGAGTTCTTTCCCACACTACAACATATTCGGCCTTCCTTGACGGATTGCCTTTGACAAATAGGGAATATGTCATTGATGTTTGACAAATATTAAAAGAAGTCGGCATAAAGTTCCGCCTCAACTGATTCTAGTGATGACTCAAGTGTGATCATAAAAATTGGTCACGGAGGCAAACGTGGTCATCACAAATACCGTGAAATTCATCATTAGAATCAGGGATATCACATGCGAAAAAGTATTGTGTCATAGGAGAATTGGTAGGCAAGATCCACATAGGCCCATAGCAAGCTAATCCCATTTGTAAGTATGAGATTGTACGGTGAAATTCATCATAGACTACCCATGCTATGGGCTAGCACGCGGTGATGAAGTTTTTTTTTCATAGAACTAACCAATAATAGTTGTAAGGAGGTCTCACATATAAGTATGCAAAAACCTTAGAGGAGACAGTTTGTCATGTGTTTATTTTGACTGTGTGTGTTTGTCCGATGTTTACTTGGTGAAATGTTTGCTAATTCATACACAACTGTGGAAGAATTGGCAGGCAACTGATTTTTGCAAGTTTGTTACAAGACTTATAGTGCGGACATGGTAAATCAAGGGTTTTACTAGAGTCCCTTCATATAAAATCTTTCTATCGTATAAGCATGTTGCATTTAGTGCACTTCTCAAGTTGTTAGCGAGAAGAACACAACAAACTGTCGCCACTGGCTCTGTTTCACTTGCTCCTAGCCGAGTCTAGGATTCCAGGATTGACTATCCGTGTTGGATGGATTGAGCGGAGACCGGACGAATTAATGAAGGATGAAAAAAAATCAATGTGCCTCGCATGGCAGATCTGTCACATGTTTTGTTCCCTCGCATTGCGTCGAGTCATTGGGATTGATCTAAAATGTATATAATGAAATCTCAATTGGAATCTCATGCCACTAATCGAGGTGCAAAAAACCTTATAGCGATGGACGAGAGCGCTTGGTGACGATCGGAAAATTGCAAACTTTTTAAGTAGGTTAGATTTGATCAAACCAAAAGAAATTTGATTAGAAAAAAAAAGTAAAAGCGACGTATAATACAAATAATACAAAATAAAGGTATTATGTAGTTTTCTGTTACATTCATTTAAACTAGCCATAAATTTGATCATGTTTAAGATGGTTTATTAGTTTACCTTAGCTCTTAATAAGGTTTTGATATAAGTTATTTTGTTTATAAAGTATCTATACTTGGCTAGAAACCTCCGAAAATTTTTATATGGTTAGCCCATTTGTGATTTTGTTTTAATACATGCAATCTTTCGATCCAATGGCCATTATTTATCTGAACTCTTTATCTGACGGCTAATATATTTTTGATGATGTGGCGCATCCTGGTACCAGAAAGCTTGTTGCTTCTGACGGCTAATATATTTTTGATGATGTGGCACATCCTCGTACCAAAAAGCTCTGCTTTCCCTATATAAGATAAGATTCGTAGTTTTATTTTATTTATAAATGACAAAAATCTATTCCTACTCACAGATCTTGAGTGATTTTTTTTAATTATTTCCTAAATAAAATTCCCGGCCAACGGAGTCCGGAGCCGTCCAACAAGATTGTTCCTCACGCCGGCGTGCCCCCCGCCACCGCGCGCCATCGCCGTAGAGGCTACCACTGGGACTTCGAGGTCGCTCCTCTCTCCATCTGGGCCGCCGCCCCTCTCGCGCACCGCGCGGCCTCTCTCCCTGCCCCTCGCCCTCGCCACCTCGCCGATGGCCTCCGGCTGTGCGGCGGCGGCGGGATGCTGGCTTCTCCCAGCCGATATCTAGGCCCTGATCCGAGAGGTGTGTTCCTCATCTGTGATGCCTAAAGTTTTCCTTCGCTTGTTGCTTGGAACCTCCCGTAGATAATTTGTGAGAACCATACACGACCTGGTAATTTTTGTTTAGGTCGGCATTGAACGAGCTTTAGATTTTGGGGAAGCTTTCTTAATTAGGTGAGGCTGGTTGTTTGCTAATGTTAATTTTGAGAGTGGATTGCGAGATACTTTAAATTTCGACGAGTCCACAAAAATGGGTATTTGTATTGGTCGAAATTAAAAATATTCTGTTTGGATAGAATCACAATTTGGAATCAAATATCAAAATTGAGTTCAAATTAATACGGTGCGTCCTACTACTACTTATCGTACTTTGGACGCTAAGATGTGTTCTTTTGTGCTCTTTGGTGATAGATTTTGACATGGATCTATGAATATGGCCAGCAGCACTAAATTAAAAGGTGAGGAGAGGCTGGATAAGCCCAAAGGGTGCCCCCACGTCTCTCCGTACTACAATGCCGCCGATCCTATTATCATCAATGGCAAAGGGATTGATCCCTTTGAGCTGAGTGAAGGTATGGATAAAAGAAGAGTGGCTTCAATTCTTCAAAGTTTCACTTGAGGCAACCGAGAGAAACCACGCTGCTTCACAAGGCAATGGCGATTCCAATACGGACAGTAGCAGCCTCTGGATTCTAGATTCTGGAAATAAAAGAGGTATTGCTGACCATAATGTGAGTAAATGAACGAAATCTTTTATACTGCTGGTGTTATCTACTTGGTTCAGAGTTTCAGACAGGAAATTGCACCTAGTCCTAGGTAATGTGTGATTGTTTTGTTAGCTTTATGAAGACATCTTATGTCCAAATTGCTCTGACAGAGGGCATTCGTCATGCTATCTGGCCAGCCAGTAACATTTTCAATTAAAATATCTTGAGTTTGTTTTGCATAAGTTGTCTGCTATGTTAATTACCAATCATAATATAACATATCAGATCCTGCACAATGAAAGCTGGCCAGGAAATTTGCTTTGTACTTTGTACTCACTGTCTTATGTGGCAATTTTTCTCATTAAAATTGGCCAGTGTTCCCGTTGATGGTGCCTCTGTAGAGTTCTACTAATACTCAGCAGTGCAGGATTTGAGTGATCCATTATGTAGTTATATCATCCATCGTAGCAGGAGTAATCATATCATCCTACAGTTATTTCGAATCATCACTTCACTCATATCATGATTAAAGATGAAACCCTTCACTTGCTTAGGGGCGATAGGTTGTGTCAGTATATATGTTGGAAAACATAAAAAAGTTAGTTATCCCATATAAGGAGGTCCAATCTACTCCAAATGGTTTTGTTTGGGCCTTGTAGAAAGGGTACAGCACTGGATTGAACTTTGCAGAATATGCAAAAACAGTAAGTCATATGAAGTTGTGCACATTCACTTGCAATTGCTATGTTAGTGTTCATCCTAGCCCGTAGAATGTGCTTATTTCCTTGGATCAGCAGTTAGGCTGCATATTTTTGTTAGTCTATATCCATTACTGCTTCACATGCATGTCATCTGTGCATATATCAGTATGACTTGCAGGTTGTCAGTACATTTCTCTATATTGGACTCAACAATGTACTCTCAACTGGGAAGGAAATCTTCCTGTGTTGTTAAAAGCATCTCAACTGACAAAATGACAGGTCTACGGTATGTATAACATGTCCTACTGTGTACAGACACAGAGATATGGATCTTATTATGAACACTGATGTTTCTTATTTTCTATGCCTAGTTTTCTTGAAATGAGACAGAAACTATAATTTTCTCATAAACTACTGGAAATTACAAATTAGCATACAAATTTACGGTAAATCTAAAGATGACAGTGGTGTTGAATGTGAGCCTCCTGTGATAGCATTCAGTAGTCTTGGCAATGGTGGCATTTTGAGTTCTAGTACACCCTCTAGGAATTGCACCACCTCGCCCATTGTTGGTCGATCAAACTCACTGTCTTGAATACACCAACATGCAATTTTGCAAACTCTTTCAGCCTCCTCGAGATTCACATCACCATGCAATTTTGCATCCACCAGATTTCCAATCCCTCCATTGATAAGCTGGCGGGCGACTTGCATTGGAAAATAGGCCGAATGGTCACCATCCTTGAAATATTCTTGACTTGAGTTCCTCCTTCCTGATAAGATTTCAAACAAAACCATTCCATAGCTGTAAACATCAACTTTAGCTGTAACAACTGTTCCGCTAATCCATTCAGGGGCAAGATATCCAATCGTTCCTCTCATTGTAGTCAGAGCATGACTAAATTCTCTCCCCAAAATCTTTGCCATTCCAAAATCAGCAATTTTAGGAACGAAAGATTCATTGAGAAGTATGTTCTCTGGCTTGATATCACAATGTATAATGCAATCTCGACAGCTATCATGCAAGTAGGCAAGGCCTCTAGCAACTCCAATAGCTATTTGGTATCTAAGATTCCAATCCAAAACTTTATCATTATCCTTAAATAGTTGCACATCAAGGGAGCCATTTGGCATGTATTCATACACAAGTAACTTCTTATCACCTTCACAACAAAGCCCAATCAATTTAACTAAATTGATGTGCTGGATCATTCCAATTGAATCCACTTCGGCTCTGAATTGTTTCTCCCCTTGGCATGTGCCGTCAAGCCTTTTCGCTGCAATGGGAGTTGACTCATTTAGGTATCCCTTAAATACAGAACCAAAACTGCCTCCTCCCAACTTTTCTGAAAAGTTTTTAGTTGCACGCTGCAGATCAATATATCGAAATGCAGTAATACCAATGCTGCCTTGATCATTTTCCGCTCCGCGAGCAAACAGTTTCCCTTTTCTCCTCCAAAACATCAGTAGAAGGATCATCAAACAGAAAGCAGCAGTGCTTGCACCAATGGCAACACCAATGATGACTCCACTCTTTTTCTTCCTTTCCGCACTTTGCACCTCATGCACCTCATTTGCAGCAAGGCGAATGTAAAAGTTATCACCATTTCCGACAGCAGAAGCATCAGACTGTTGCCTTACGTTATACAGCTCATCATGCCAAACAGAGCATCCACCTTTCCCATAGGAATATGCAGTACAGGAGCAGTTGCTCAAGCAAACATCTGAGCATTCATCTTTACTTGCAGCTTCCTGCACATGCATGGCATTACGGGGCAATATAATGTTTTGCACATAGTAGAACTTATCGCTGAAACCTGTCTTGTTCATAGTACTACCACAATTTAATGGAGTATTCCTCATACACCCTCCTGTTCGATCTTCTATCTCCCAATCCTTGGGTGATCTTATAGAGAAGCCCTTCATACAGTCGCAGAACGGATCATTGTTGTCATTGCAGACTGTAAAAGGTCCACAGATTGCGTAAACATCGCAATGAAGTAAGGGCATCCTGTAATTGATCAACCAATCCTGCAAGCTGTCCAACCATACACCTGCCAAACCTTGCCCATTGACATCTATTGCGGCATGCGTAATTGCCTTCTCATTGTTCAGAGTATATGTGAGGTAAACCTCTCTGTCATTGTTGACAAATGTGAAATTGGGTATGGTGGCACCAAACATCTCTGGTGCTGAGCCAAAAAATTGCCCATTCCAATCCCCACTGGACCAATATGTTACAGTTGAGTTCCATACCAAATGACCAACACCATTGATATCAAATTCCAAAGAGTACAAACCAGCAGCCTGGTCAATTGAATTCTTCCTAGAAACAAGGCGGCGGTTCAGGCCAGTCACCTTGTTCCAGCCGATCTTCGCATCGGCAAAAAGGCTATCTGTTGGGTAGTCAAAGCTCTGCCAGAAAACCATGGATGAGTTTGATGAACTCTGCAGCACAAGATTACCATCGTTCAACAGCACAACAACGGTGCCGTTGGTTGTGGTGTTAACACGGGTAGACCATATGATGGACTTGGTAGCCTGGTCCATGATGACCATGTTTCCGTCGCCGGATATTGTTAGCTCCGGTGAAGCGGGGTCCACCACTGGGTTTTCGCCATTGGCGGACCACAGTGGAGTTATCATGGGGAGCTTGTTGTACCATATGCAAAGGTAAGAGTTGCGGCTGGTGTAGGAGGAGTTCTTACTGTCCATCTTGAAGAAGCCGAGAGCGAACTTGCTGTTGTTGGAGATAAGCCTGTCACCGCCGGCCAGTGTTTGGCCGGGTGACACCGTGTCCGTAGTGGCATAGCTCGTCGGAGGGTGCAGGGAGAGTAGGAGGAGGAAGCCAAGAAGGACAGACATGATGGACAGGACAGTGAAGAAAGGGAAGGTTAGTGGAGGACTGGAATTTGTAAGGAATATGATCGATTCTGACGACTGTGATGCAATGTTTCGAAGCCAGACCAGTTCTGTGTTTTTTATTTAGACAATATCAGTTCTATGATCAGTTCTGTGATTTTTTAGACAATATCAGTTCTGTGTTCAGCTCTCAGAATCCAGGTCAACGTCATGGTGTGGGTGCACGTCCTAATCAGTCTGTATTAAGAACTGACAGTGGGTTAACCTCGATCTTAATAATCTTCTCATTGGTCAGACCTAAACAATGCATCGTTTTGACTGCGTAATAATATGTGCAAACTATTCAAGAAATATGTTTGACATCTCTTCCAGCAACTTCCAGTTGAGTTAATCTTTTAGAGAACCCCTTTTTTTTAAAACTTTGCAGTTCAGTGGAAGTTCTTTCACGACATCAATGCAATGGGCGCTGCTTGTTGGAGACTTCTTCCATTTTTTGGACCAATATATCATGCTTTTATCTCCAAAGGGAAAACTTAATCCATGCCAAAGATTTAAGCACTGATGAGATCAATCTGATATTCTTTTTCCAACAGGAAATCAATTTCATGATGTTCACAGATTTGGGCAAAAGCATGACCACGCGATGCGATACAATGATGCCAACTTCAAATCATCAAATGGGTTTTGAATTTGGCACTATGAGAATGCTGCATAGTCCAGTACATGGCCGACAAAAAAGTAGTCCAGATATGCAAGAAGTGAAGACTGAAACTGAATTAGGGGGAGTCAACCAGACGAGTAAAAGAAAATGTTCAGCACAGGCTTCATATCAGAAAGAATGACGCGCATTGCATGTTTGCATGTGCGCCTGTGTGTGTTGACTGTTGACTGTTGACTGTTGACGCTGAGCCGCAAATCTATCTCGTGGTCACGCCGAGATCTGCAATTTTTGGAAGTGCTAGCTGGTATAAAGCCAAGAGCATTTTTAAGAGTGGGAGGCAAAGGCATTTTCTAATTTGAAACCACTTTGGATTGCAATCGGAGAGCATACTGGAGTAGCTCTTTCTTTCTTTTTTAAATAGGCTACAAAAATACCCGTGCGTTGCAACAAGTGAAGGCTATTTTAATCTTGTTATTGTTATATGGTTTAGGTAGGATGAAATTTATTGTGTTAAAATCGCTTGGATATATATTTTGTTAGAAAATCATGAGTTACAATTAGGAGTCCGATCGTCTTAAGTTGACATACGAGCTTTTTTTAATGAGATTTCTTATACGATTTCTTTTGTATTTACAAAAGTGAACGAACTTAAAAACGGGCTTAAATACGGATCTGTGTTTCCAAAAGCGAATGAATTTAAAAACTGACTCATAGACGGATGGCGTACCAAAGTACCGGCAAAAATATCTTCAATTTTTATAATAGTAGAGATTAAGCTGATTTATTTTTACCGATCTGTCCTATATAAAAATTTAGTCCATATAATACAATTAATACTTAAGTTATCAAGTCATGATAAAATAAAATATGTTTAGTGATTTTTTTAAATTACTAGAAAAAATGCCCGTGCTTTGCAACAGGTGAAACTATTTTTTCACTGAAATTCACTGTGAGAATTCATTTAGATATATATTTTTCTAAAAAATCATGTTAAGTTAGCATGCGAGTTTTTTTTAAAAGAATTTCTTATACGACTCTTTTTGTATTTTCAAAAGCGAATGAACTTAAAACCCGACTCAAATACGGATATGTATTCCCAAAAGCGAACGAACTTAAAAACCGACTTATATTTGGATGTGTCAGGGTTACGGATAAGATATACCCTCTACCCTTGGATGTACGCTATACGACAATATTGTACATCGGCGCGTGTACGGACATTCTCTGTATACGTTAAGGAAATTCATCTCGAAGTCCACCAATGCAAAGGTTCCTACCCGTATAAGACTGGGTCGTCAATATATCGTGCAGAGTCCGATGTCTCTGAGTCCTACTTGGAGACCACCTGACCTGCGATATAAAAGGGACCCCCCGGGAGGACCTAAGGGATCGAATCTCATAGCCAACACAGTGACCACAACCTACGAAGCCAGAGTTTGCAGGAGCCAAGTCACCGGGTGATCTAGTCGAATCAACTCGACTACGATCTCGTCAGTATCATCGAGTTCTGTTATTTCCTTTGTAATTTGTGGTTCTCTCCATATAATCCCATATCAATTGGATTAGGGCTATTACCTATTAAGGGGCTTGAACCAGTATAATCTTTATCTCTTGTTTCCTTGATGTCATGCTACGTAGATCCTCGTACCAGCGTACCCCAATACCCTCTATATCCGGTCTACGGGTACCCACCGTCGACAGTGGCGTGCCAGGTAGGGGGACTTGGTGCTCAAGATTCTACTACTATGACATCAAGCTTCATCGACAACATCATCAACACCGGCCCCATTCAAGGAGTCCCTACTTCAACAATGCTGTTGTGGACTCAAGTCGGCGAAATCGTCTTCCCGGTTTACACCACGGTACCAATCTCGGCTGATCCATCAATGACCGATCCCATGTCGAAGGATCCTCCCGCTGTAGCGGAGAACGGAACATCGACGTCATACGAGCCCGAGAAGGTTCCTAGTGCGGCCAAACCTTGTCCTTCCGACAAGAACCGCGAGCCGACAAGGACAACTTCCGAGGTAACAAAGTTCTGGTGTCCTATCCACAAGTCCAGGAAGTACAACTTGCAAGCTTGCTGGGTTTTTCTCAACGTACAAGCTGAAATTCGTGCTTGCAAGGAGCATGGAATCCAGCGTACTTCTCTAACTCGTGATGTCTATTGTCCTATTCACAAGACGAAGAATCACGACTTCTTAAGCTGCAAGGTCTTTCTCCGCGCCATGAAAACGACGCTTCCTAAGGTCCAGCAGTCAGGAACCTCCCTTAAGGATACAGACAAGGAACAAGGAGCGACGTTGACCTCGGATCGATTCATTGGAGTAATCGACATCGATCCCCACGAGCCATCAGTCCTACACTTGCTCGAAGACTATGGCTCGTCATCTGACAGTACACCACGCGACGTGTTTGCCATCGATGGGACTAGCACGTCTGCACACGCTAACGCAGAGGCGGAGAACCAGACGGTCACACCGGCCCAACACCTTGGCACCGTCAACGCAATACTGAGAGAAGCTCCCTATGACCCCGTGCTTAACGATGATCTCGCACGATGGACAGAACGACTACGGGAATCGGTAGCTAATCTCAGTAACGCGTTCGAGGAGGCCGCAACCAGAGCACAACCAGAACGACCGACAACTGACGGTGCCGACGGCGAACCACCGGAGCAGCGGACGTCGCCTAGACGAGCTACCCCTCCACCTCGCGGCACCAGCGATCTTTGCGACCATCTGAATGGCCGCCGAGAAGCACGACGCGCGCGAGACAACGAGAATCGTTCCCGACATCGTGTTTCTTCACGACATCGCGAGAACGAAGAGCGAGGAGGCCGCTCGAACGAAGACCAACACCACCATAATCGTCACAACCGCCGCGACCACGACAATCGCGAACAGCGGACACCAGACGATGCTGGTCGAGGCCGTCAACATGACGGTGATGATAATGGGGATCGGCGCCAGGACAACAATGGTGGACGACGACAGAATTCTCGAGAACCTGAACGTCGCCCTCGGAATCGCACACCGGAGCCGAGTGAATCATCGTCATCATCTTCATCTTCGTCATCCGATAGACATCGACGGAGGACACACGATCGCCGACAACCCACCGCCCCCAGCGCCGGGTGTAGAGCTTTCAACCGTTCTCTACGTGATGTTCGATGGCCCAAGAGATTCTGACCCGGAGCAATAGAGAAGTACGATGGGAGCACTGACCCTGAAGAATTCCTCCAGGTCTACTCCACGGTACTATACGCTGCCGGGGCAGACGACAACGCGTTAGCAAACTATTTGCCAACGGCGTTGAAAGGTTCTGCGTGTTTGGTGCTGATGCACCTCCCACCCTACTCGATCTCTTCATGGGCAGATTTGTGGCAGCAGTTCGTCGCTAACTTCCAAGGAACTTACAAGCGCCACGCGATCGAAGACGATTTACACGCGTTAACATAGAATCCGGGTGAATCTTTGAGGGACTATGTTCGGCGCTTTAATGAGTGTAGAAATACGGTCCCCGATATCACCGATACTTCTGTGATTCGCGCTTTCAAAACTGGTGTCAGAGATCGCTATACTACCCAGGAGTTGGCAACAAGGCGAATCACAACTACTCGAAGGTTGTTCGAAGTTGTCGATCGATGCGCCCATGCAGACAACGCACTGAGACGCAAGAACGACAAGCCAAAGGCGAGAGGAGAGAAGAAGCCAGCCAAGGACGCACCCAAATCAAGCAAGAAGAAAAGCGGCAAGAGTAGGAAGAGGAAAGCTCAACCGGAAGTCCTCGCATCTGAATACGAGCGCCCACCCAAACACCCAAACCCACAAGGCAGTGATACGAAGAGAATATGGTGCCCCATACACAAGTCGGACAGACATTCTCTGGAGGAGTGCCTCATCTTCAAAAAGTCGCTGGAAAAGCAACTGGCTTTGGAGAAGGGCAAGCGAGTACGTGTAGTCGAGAAGGCCACTGAGGCAACCACTCAGGACTCAGACTCGGCGTACCTAGATTCCGATCTTCATGTCTCGCACATCTTCGGAGGTTCCACAGCGTACTCTTCAAAGCGAGAATACAAAAAAGTGGAGCGTGAGGTTTGTTCAACATGGTATGGGGTTGTCACGCCCGGAATTTCTATCCAAAATTCCAAACGCTTACATGTGTGTGAACCCTCGTCCAGGAATCAGCCGAGGCACACAATAACAAATTGATAATAGAGTACAAATATTACTCTAATTAATAAGCGAATAAAATGTCATTACAGAGGTAGATAGTTCCTCTCAATCAATAAAGTTCTAGCAGCGGAAATTAAATAAACGGCGCAGACGGCTCCACTCCACAGGCAGCTTGACCAAGGCTACACCTAATCCTCCACACCATCAGCCTCATTGTAGAACTC